CAGAGTGTGGGATTACAGGCGTGAGCCACCATGCCTGCCCTGGATTTTACAACAGAAAGAACTAGGCAAAAATATTAAACTGGAGTTAAAATTTTAAACTAATTAGCTTTTTTCTCCTTTTCTTTAAGAGATAGGATTTTCTTCTGTCACTCCTGGCTTCGGGTGACCTTTCCACCTTGGCCTCTCAAAGTTCTGGGATTACAGGCGTGAGTCATTCCACTCAGCCTAAATTAGTTTTAAAACGCAGAGCTGGCCGGGCGCAGAGACTCACGCCTGTAACCCCAGCACTTTGGGAGGCCAAGACAGGTGGATCACCTGAGGTCGGGAGTTCAAGACCAGCCTGACCAACATGGAGAAATCCCACTAAAAATACAAAATTAGCCAGGCGTGGTGGCGCATGCCTGTAATCCTAGCTACTGGGGAGGCTGAGGCAGGAGAACTGCTTGAACCCGGGAGGCAGAGGTTGCAGTGAGACAAGATCGCGCCACTGCACTCTAGCCAGGGCAACAGGAGCAAAACTCCTCTTTAAAAAGAAAAAAAAAAATGCTGAGTTAATAGCCAGGCACGGTGGCTCACGCCTGTAATCCCAGCACTTTGGGAGGCCGAGCCAGGCAGATCACCTGACGTCAGGAGTTCAAGACCATCCTGGCCAACACGGTGAAACCCTGTCTCTACAAAAATACAAAAATCAGCCGGGCATAATAGCAGGTACCTGTAATACCAGCTACTCGGAAGGCGGAGGCAAGAGAACTGCTTGAACCCAGGAGGTGGAGGTTGCAGTGAGCTAAGCTCGTGCTTCAGCCTGGGCAACAGAGGCGAGATTCCTTCTCAACAACAACAAAAATGCAGAGTTAAATAATTTTTGAAAGTATTCTGAATTCATTGTTTTCAAAACTGAAGATTATTTATACTGCCAAATCCTACATATTTAATATTTTAAGTTAATGTGATCCCTTAAGATAAAGAAATGTAGTTTTCTTAGCAAAAGCTAAATCAGCAAAAGCTAAATCAGCAAAAGCTAAATCAGCCTGGAGGTAAGCAAAAGCTTGAATAAATCTGCACCTCTTCTTCTGGCAGCATCTTTCTCCGCCCATCCTTCACCGGAAATCCACTTCCAAAGTCTTTTGAGGAGATATCTGCCCCATATTCCACGATAACATCTTCTTCAATGCTGCTTACCAGCCGCCAAAATTCCTTTTCTACTAGTTCTGTGGGAACCATCTACACAGGGAAAAGAAAGACGACAAATTATTAAACCGCTGTAACTATAACCCAGTATAACATAATACACAGGGTCAAGTAAACACAAACCCATGATGAGATTAAAAATCTTCTGATTCTCTAGAGAAGTAAAGACCCAGATCCTAGCTTTTTCCATTGAGAACAGGGAAAAGCTGAGACAACTCGGACATTCAGAAAAACGTAATGAAATGTGCTGCCCTTTACTGAAGGAAACTGTTTCCCAAGAGTAAGAACAAAGATGAACCAGGAAATCAAGGAGGAATAAGGAAATGTAAACAGCAAGACTAAATTTTTTAATAGCTTCTATGTTTTGCCTTTTATTTGATGATTTTAACACAAAATTTCATTTTCTTTTTGTTTTTTATTATACTTTAAGTTCTACATTGAGTATTTCTCCTAATGCTAGCCCCGACCCCCCAGACAGGCGCTGGTGTGTGATGTTCCCCTCCCTGTGTCCATGTGTTCTCACTGTTCAACTCCCACTTACGAGTGAGAACATGGGGTGTTTGGTTTTCTGTTCCTGTGTTAGTTTGTTGAGAATGA